CCAACCTTGCGGAATTTAAAGCACATATTCATACCAGTTAGGCTGAATAGGCGAGATATCTGTTGCGATGACTTCGGCTTGAGGTTGTTCGCTGTAATATTCAAACAAGACACGGAATCCCGCCACGCATGTTCCTTGGTCAGCGAAGTTTTCCAGTAATATACTTATAAACAGTTTACCTTCACATTGACACTCATGGGCAATCAACTCCAAGCCGCCCTGTCCACTCCGTCTCATCCTCAGCACCGCCAGAATCCCCCACTTTTTAAAACAGCTCTACCTAAAAAAAGTAAAAGAAAGAAAGACTCTACTTACTCCGCAAAATCAATCGCCCAAATCCCCGTCCCGGTTCCTACATCCAAAACCCTCTGTGGTCTATCCAACGGTGCCGTATACAGCATACCTCCAAGTATCGTCAGAAAAATGTGATGGTACAGATCTAAACGTTCCTGTTCCATCTCGTCGTTCGGCATGAAGTACTCGGCTGTTTTGAAGCGGTCCGAGTGGTACCGGCGGCCATTGGCGTATTGAAAGGAAAAGACGGAGGAGGAAAGAGAGGTCGTTGCAGTGCAGTCGCCGGTAGTAATGCCTGAGAGGGGCTCTTCGGAGGCGTTGGAATTGTAGTCCTGGAGAGGGAACATTAGATATATACGCATATGTGAATGATAAATATAGCCCTGGATGTAGGGCACAGGGGACGGAGAGGGGGGAGCGGGGAGCAGGCATGGTGTAAGATGAATATCAATACGGTATGTCACAATTCCAACTCACCTCGTGAACCGGTATGTTAGCACCGGAAATCGGGGCTTGAGCCGGGGCTGAAGCAGCACTAGCGGCAGCGCTGGACATCGTCATAGTCGATAGTATTGTATATAATTCTAAATTTGAGAGAACGTCTGATGTGAGCTTGAGTATATCTGATGCGGTGTCCCAGCCCTGCTTGTTTGCTTCCTTCCCCTTCCTGCTACGTAAAGCTACGAGGGAAATAAATGCCGTAGGTACGGAGTACCTTCATCAGCTTTTCGTTCCTTCCCTGGTTTTAATTCCTAGCAAGAACCAAATGAAAAAAAAAAATCAAGTATGCGATTGATAGAAACCTGAAACTTCTTTTTCCAACTTTGAAGTACTTGTTCTGTTCTGTTCTGTTTTTCAATGACGCCCCGTCGATGTGTACGTAAGATGTGCTTCAACCTGGGTATAGGACAAGCTTGTACATGTGCGGTTGTAGAGAGAAAATTAAGGTTTCTTTGTGAATTCGGAGAACAAGGGGGAAATTTAGAGCTCGCTGATCGCCGTGCGAACGTAGATAGGAGATAATTAATTTGAAAGCGGAAGTTCGGAAGGTAGGTGGGGGGAGAGGGGGCAACCCACAGAATCAAAAAGAGGGTATGTAGATGGGCGTGTAAGGGAAGCGGGAAAAAACGCCGAAGGATTGGGCGACAGATGTGTTTACATCTATATGTACATCCTGTGATATCGAGCCCCTTTCATGGCACTCCACAAACTTCACCTTAATGTGCTATCGTTGATTAATGCGGATATTATCCTAGAGTATGGCAGTGGTGTATGCCGACTATAAGCGAGCGCTCAAGCCTCCCCCTTAAACCATTCCATCGCCATCACATTCGGCTCCCAGCTTTCCCCAAGAACTTGTATCGTCCTTACTTTCGGGACGTTCTCATGCGTTTGGTGTGCGTTTCAGTGAGATTCAAATTCTTGCTTCCCCCTCAACAATAAAAACTAATATAGTGGCATTACAAGTGCTTGTCCTTTATGTACTGACAATGTTTCCAAAAAAGGAAGTATATTCACAAGTGCAAATTAAAAAACATCACAATAAAAATAAAAAATAGTTGCCGCACACCCCGCCTCGCATCTGATATGTCTCGGAATCGTGTGGTAATTATTAAGTTTGCACGTGCGAAACCTACGGTAATAATGAAGGAGAACAATTCGGAACAATGGGCTATGTTCGTGGGGAGACATTCAAGTGGGGGATATGGCGTTGCGCTGGATTTGGACCAATCCACCAAAATCGTCATCCGCTAGAACGCTTTGGCCCTCGAGCGAAGGCGGCATGCGCACCTGCATTCTGTGGCGTCCATGTGATTCCCGCTTCGGTACTCTCAAGACTAGGTTGAAAGCATGAAAATGGCAATGATCCGCAACTTGGAAGCAAGTACGGACGTGGTATAGCCTGACAGGAAACTAAAGCCCTGTAGTAGTGTAGTATAACACGAGTAAGACTGAGGATATTGTATTGCGCACCTCCGGGTGACTACAAAAATTTCATTGAATTGACTTCAAGTTAACCACAAAGCATCTAAATACATGTTAGTCTGGTTAATACATGTAGGAGGCCTACATCGCACTTTAGGTTAGAGCACCAAAATTATAGTTTCGGTAATGAGGATAGCTACCTATTTGGGAAGGATAGACATTTGAAGGTCTAGACTAACTTTGGCAGCATTATTTCCTGGGCCGTAGGATCATTGTAGTCGATCCTCTAGATCTACACGCCTACTTTTACCTACTGTACTTATATCCCTTTAGATCTAATTACTATAGCAATAAACCTTTTCAAAACAGGGAACCATTATCCACTCACCGAAGATATCTCATAATGCTGTCTTTTGCCTCTCATCTAACTGCTAATTCTCATGCTTGTTTTCATAGCAAGGTAGTGAACCTTCCTCTTTACCTATTACGTCAGTGACTATGATTCAGCGCACTTCCGGAATTAAAACAACAGCCTCCTGTAAGGCCAAATCTTCATAGAAGGTGTCTGAATTGCACATGCAGGTTGGAGAAATATAGGAAAGCAACTTCTGCACCCCTTTTCACCAATTGTACAGATTTGAATGATGATCTATGGTGGTAGTTGCCCAATTATGCGTTCGAATCCTAAGCAGGTCCAAAATGGCAAGATGGCTATTTAAGACCTTGTACAAGTGCCTATGCCTTGTACAGTATTTATTCCAGAGGTCTGGAATGTTCGGTAATTGGGTACATATGTAACAAATGGTGAGCTAATATCCGGAGATACAATTTGCTGCTAGAAGTGAATTTTGATATTCAGTCTTTATACAATCCTAAAAATATAAAGCATGTTCAGACTGCTTTAAAATATAACCCTACAAATAGGAGAATATATCCTGAGCTGATTGTGGATATAGTTATTGATAGGAAGTAGGGGTTGATAGGGATATCCATCTGTATATACCCAAGTAGGTGATTAATATACCATGTATGAGTGCTGCAGTCATGAGCTATGAAACTCCAGAGATATAATCTTGAGCCTATTGAGATATTATATAGAAACTCCCGGAGTGCAGCAAATGTAGAATCGGACCCCTCTTTTCCTTACTGTATTTATGTATATGTCAGTGTGGGGATGCGATATATGATACGTCATTGTACGGAGAGTAAGAACTTAGAATTGAGCGTATGACTTCCGGCCGCCAGTAACTTGTGCCGATACACTGCCGTTTGAGTACGATAGCGGAGAGCGTGCTCCGTCGGCAGAAAATTGTGGTCACTTATATTCCGGCGGTCGTGGTACCAGATTCCGGCAAATATCACAAGTTTGCTTGGCGGGGCCTTCGTTACGCGGAGACAGATGAATTCCATACCAGGAATTAAACTTGTATGTGCAATCCTTTCTCCCACTAACTTTCGTGCTCTACAACATAGTCTCACGATGAAAAAAAAAAAATGCTGGAGGGGTTTGGGGAATGTGAAGAACTACAATGAACTGTACGCAATCCATACAGTTCGAAATTACTAGTTCTGGTGATCACCATACTACGTAGGGGCCCAACCCCCTGTTTGGTTGCAGTAGGTCGTATCAGATAGTTTAGACCTAGCATAAGTATGAATAGCCAAGGCGGGACCCGACGTAAGTGGAACTGGGGAAGTGTTTGTTTGCTACAATTTGACTCCGTACCTACAGGTATGCAGTGCAAAAAAATCGGCAACTTGATGCTACATTCTAATAAAATAAGATCCTGCGGCCACCAATGTCAAACTTGTCAAATGCCGCTATCTCTATTTTTTTTTTATAAAATCACATAACAATTGCAGCTATTGCATTCCGAGTCTCAAGCTACTACTGCTATCATTATCACTGTCTATGCCTTGTGCTATAGCACTCAATCAGCCTACCCAAATTGTCAGAACTATGAGCAAAGTGGACCTTCTAAAGGATACCGTGGGTTTGCTCAAAATAGTCCTCCTGTAAGTGTACATTTCCTTTAGTGAGCGGCACGAGCCGAGCCAGCTCGAGCTCAAACGAGCCAAGATCATGCTTGTGTTTTTCTTGACAGCTCGCTAAAATGCTTAGCCAGTGCAAGGTTTCATAAACTGTAAATACCTAATATAGTAATAATTAGAGACTTGGAGCTCATTCTGACCTACCAACAACTTCGAAATGCACAATTTAGCTGATAGTAGTGAGAAAGATGAAAATTTAGCTTAGTTTAGTTTAGTTTGTCAATATTATGTATATAATCAATCCAGGCTCGAGCTAGCTCGTGCCGCTCACTAAAATTTTTCCTTGCAATGCTGATGTCCACATAGGAGTATTGTTGTAAAATAATAGCATGTACTCTGTTATTTCTATTCCAATTGGCCAAGCGTGAGGATATCATGAGCATTGAGTTCTGCCATAATAGTGGTGCAATGCGATGTTGATGTTGTGATGCAATGACAATGTCATGATGCAATGCAATAGTGTGACGCAGTTTGCTATAGCAAGCGAAATGATACATGGCTACACTCACCTCTGTTGGACAGTTCCAATTTTTGTGGGCGGAGACTACACAGTTTAGTTTCGTGTGGAATGACGCTAGCAAAACATAGAAATCGTTTGGTTGCCGTAGTTTCCACTTGAAATCTCGGTCAACCAAACAGGGCCTAAAATTGTCGGCAATCAGGTTCCGTGCATGGTCAACTCTTACACAGAGGAAGCAAAATAAAAGAAAACATAGAGCCATGTTAGTTTCCGTCGCCGGGAATTGAACCCGGGTTCTGAGAGTTCCCATTCCAGTCTTTTGGACTGGATGTGAGAGTCTCAAATGCTAGCCACTACACCACAACGGAGTTTGTGATATCTCTGAGAAGCCGCGTGGACACCATAAGCGATTAGCTCGGTTGCACTAGTGAAATCCTCTGCTCTTTATTTTGAAACGGTTCAAAACGGCGCTGTTCCTCGGACTTCATGCCCATGGTTGCGTGTTGAGACGACGTAAGTACCTGTGCAACCTGTTGGAGAATTGCTCATATCTCAGTATTACGAGGTAGTTACATCGAAAAAGACCATTACGCCTGAACTCTCATCAAGCGTCCAGGCACCATACACACCGTCAACTAAAATATGCATCACGTTGCAATCTACCGACTATGACTTGTTCACCGACAAATAAAGCACAGGCATGTAATGCCTATGCGTTACGTGGATATGCTTGCCCTGCCATGGCGGACAGCGAAAACGGTGGATATGCGATGAGTCAGCAGCAAGCCGCGCTGGGTCTGCTTTATGAGACTGCATAGTGTATGTAGTTACTTACCTGATGCAGGATGTTCCCATTCAAGTATTCATGTAACGCCACTACTGAGCTGCTAAACTTGTAGCAGTGTCTGCCATTCCTACTAGGGCCATCGCATCGCCACCAGCAGTCACACAGCCAGCAACACACGAGAAGTGTTCAAGTTGTAATCCTCAGCCTGGCCCTGTCTTCTCCCTTGCCGCTGCAGCATACCACGCCCCCCTCTCCCAACCCTCAATCGTCTCCAAATCCCTCAGCACGTATACATAGAAGGTACCGTGATAGCTTCCGCTCTCTTCTCTGCGACTGTACTTGCGCACGTCGCAGGAGAACTTATCAAGGGACACTTTGAGCAGTAGGAGAGCAGACTTCTCATCAAAAAAAAACACATCACACTGTGGCCACCCTCCTCAACCACGCAATTCCATGCCTTCGTCAGCATCTTTTCCTCCCTGGTCGGAGGAGCGCCCTGTCCCCGCCCCAAACACCCTTCCCCTGCCCCCGCCTTCTCGACCAGATGGACGTACGTTCAGTACGAGAGGCAATCTCAAGTGGTACACCACCAACCTTGGCGTGGCCCGCGGGGACCTCCTTGCGCTGCGATGCCTCACCACCGTATCCCACCACCCCACAAATCTCGCCATAGGTCTACGTGCGGAGGCTGCAAAAGTCAGCCTTTGGACCAACGTAGGAAGGCGCGTTCTGGGGACTTTATGTGCATGTGCAGTCACCGCTGAACCCGCGCTCGAGCACGAAGCCAACGAACTCTGGGCCTGGGCCCAGTTCAGGCCGCAGCGGGGTTGGGAGTCTTTCAGAGACTCGGCGTCCAAATTGTCCAGCAATCAACAAACGTCGTTCAGAAACGTGTTTGGGAAATTGTGCTTTGGGAACGGTTGGGACGGAGAACGACGACGTAAGAGCCCTGGAACGGATGCTACACGGAGCAGAAGAAAAAGGCCAGAGGTGGTGAATTTTGATCCGGGCGTTACAGGATGGATTTTATGGAGCATTATCATCAATAGATGGGCCAGGGCACGGAATACAGGCAACATTCGCGGTCGTACGGAGGCTGCCGGAGATACTCCGCAGCTCACTGTCAATGAGGAGCTGGTTAATGCAGAGGAAGGAGAGGCGATTTTCAACGAGGCGAAAAGCAATTTGGACTTTGAGGGCAATGGGACTAAGCATGACGATGATGCGCATACTGCCCATGTTCCAGGCCCCCCTCGCCGCCGCCGTCACCGGTATTCCCCCTACACTCGCTCCGCCGGTTCTACTGCAGAGTCACTGCGCCGCAAGCGACCAAGAAAGCAGCTCCGCAGCCGCTCCCGCATTGTGCTTCGGGGCAGAGAAGACATAGGTTTGCTACACCAGGACCTAGCCACCAGCTCCGGCAAGATCTCAAGGGTGCGGGAGAAGGAAAAGCAAGGCGCTCAAACACCCGACCACGATGCATGGGACGATTATGGTGACGGTGATGTAACTGACATGGATTGGGAGGACCCCGGAGCAGAAGAGTGCGGAGGGTATAGAATGAGCTCTAGACGTGCGTGGCATAGAAGTCGTAGTGGGGAGAGATTGAGAATGAGCCTCAGGAGGAGCACGAGACTGCGAGGTACGAGGACGAGACGGCGCAGCAGCATTGCAAGTGTGCGAGATTCAGACTTTGAAAATGAACACGATGCTTCGGAAGATCATGATGGAGAGGATATTATGAAGGTTGAAGGTCAGCCGAGCTTCGGCAGAGAAAGGTTCGTTAATAATTGGACGCAGAGCGGGACCGTCATAGTTCTAGACGCGGACTCCGATAGTGAATCGACTACCTCGGAGAACAGCCCATGTCAACATGACAGAGGCGGCGATAGCCCACTTGCCGCTACGGAAGATAATATGGAAGTGGAGGCCTCTGATACTATTATCACTCTCGATAGGCCCTTGGACAAGCGTGCACTCACCAAACCAGATACAATTGATGATACAGAGAATGCAGGGAACGAGAGCAGTCCACCACCGGTTGTTAGCCCTTCCCTGGCAGAATACCGAATGAACGTTGAATTCGAACAAAACCGAGACCAGATAATGCAGCCCGGATCGCACTCACGGCCGCAGCCACACTTGCAGCGCCAGGAAGCCGCACACGGTCAAGCGCAAACGAGTGCAAACATGCATAGGATAAGCAGAATTCAAGGTACAGCAGCTACAAGCTGTAGCAGTTGTCATACGGATCGATTTGAGCACTCCGGAGTTCCGCCCTGTCACCATACTTTGCCGCTTTGGGCGCAAATCATGTTCTTGAAGCTTCCCGGAGAGGAGGGATATGATGATGCGGCGGAGTGCATGTGCAGTCAAACGTTGCACAGCGGTTGGGGGAATCTGTGTTTCGCTTGACCGCAAACGGGAATTCATTTAAACGGCAACTGTGGAGACAAAGCATGGTATCCGCTGCGATACATATAAATAATGAGCATTTGTCAACTTTTCGTTTTTTATATTTTCTTGCGTTCTGTTCCGGACCAAAAGAAGGGTTTCTTTCTTTCTTTTCTATTTTTGCTCCTTGGATGGATAGGCAAACGCAGACGCAGAGCAGGGCAGGGCGGGGAGCATACATTTAAGGGAGTCAAGAGGTCAAGGTCCCGACTTCTTGCAAGTGGACCTAGCTAAAACTAAAAATTTTCTTTCAAAGCACGCCTACAGTCCTACCTTAATTGCGTTTAGAGTTTAACTTCGCCTCGATATAGTTTCCCACAAATATAGGCATGTAATGTCGTTTTGGCGGAGCTTGTAGTGGTTGGATGTCCGTCGCTGGATGCGGCTTGGCATCGGAGTTACTTCTTACTCGATCAGTGAAATGTTCCTCTCGTCACCAACCTCCACGGACTTCTTGGTGCTGTCCACCTTCCCCCCGTCTTTGGCTGCAGCCTTCGACTCTTCCTCCATTAGTATCCTCAGCCCCCTCCGCGTGCATCCAGTATGCCACAGCCTGCTCCGCTTCCGGCCGCTTCAAAGCTTACAGCCTCACTCTGTACATCGTCCTTCCTACCATTTCCATTCCCTTTCCGGTCAGCACGCAGATTGGCGAGCCCTCTCATCCTTTTTGCCCCGATGCCTGCTGCCCCTGCTCTCCGAAACTTGAAGTATAATTGACAGTCCACAGGATTTTGCTGCTCTATTCCGCTCTTGCGCTATACCGTCTCTTTAAATATACCCTTCCCTGGTTTTGCGCTGTAAGCATCTTGGCGACGAGAAGCTTGCACTCCAGCGTTCTACTCTCTGCTCTCTGACACATTTCTCCGTCGCCTAGCTGGTCGCCGTGCTGTTCCCCCAGATCCCTCTATAGCTACTCCGTATGCCATTTCATGAAGGGAGCTAAGCAACAAGGTTCTACGGAAAACGTTAGTTAAAAAGCGTGCAGGAGGGTCGGGCGTTCTTGGCATGTCAGCCGGGTTGCATTGGGAAAGGAGGGCAGCAGAAGATTAGTTCATCGGAACCAGCAGTGCAGATGTATTTTGGAACTATCGAGGTGAGATGGGAAGTTTTATTTGCGCTCGCTCGATATGTTGGGAATGCTTTACTCTGCGTTCCGGCCGGTTTTTGTCTCCGCACAGCTCATTTAATGAGGAATGTCAGTTTGTCCGGAGACTTAAAAATCTGGATACCAGTTTTGGCAAAACGCGCTTATGAATCGTTTCTTTATGTCCCTCCTTTTAAAGAATTTGTGATTGCAACGTGATTTTACTTCAGTTGGTTTGACGAAAGGTAGCTTTCACGTGAGGGTTGTGCCCGGACAGTCACTCCACAGAAAGCGGATAGGAACAAGAGGAGAAAGGTAGCGCAAGGTTGGTTTGAGCCTGTGGTCACTTGGCAAGAGTATACTACGGAACGTTGGTTTCACCAGCAATATCACAAGATTTATTCTCCCACTAATAAACATCTCTCAAATCTATGTAAAAGAAATCAGAAAAGCCCGACACTAACCAGGAGGAAAGTAAAAAGGAGCGGAAAAACAAACACAAGGGCGCAGTACAAAAACAGACAAGAGACAACTTCCACAAGAGACCAAGACCAAAAAGACACGGCTATACTACTCGAAATCCAACCCGAAAACTACCTTTTTTCCCGCCGACTTAAAGAGGAACGACACCGTTGTTCTTGAGCTTGTCAAAACCGATCTTCTTGACATCACAGCCGCAGTCAAGACCCTTCCACAAGCCCTTGACGTCAAGGCGAACCACCTTCAACAAGTCATCGACCTTGATGTTAAGCTTCACGCACAAGTCAAGAATGGTGATGTTCAACTTCACGAGGATAGCACCAATGATCTTGAGATCGCAAACCTTAAGAAGGTCACCGACAGTCTTGACGTTGAGCTGGATAAGGAGGTCATCGATGGTCTTGATGTTGAGCTGAACGAGGAGGGCGGCGAGGTCACAGCCAAGGATCTTGATCAGGACGGAGAGGGTTATGTTGAGGTCCTTGAGGAGGACACCAAGGCAGATGTTGAGGTCCTTCAACAAGACGGCAAGAGTGATGTTCAAGTCCTTAAGGAGAACGGCC